GGAGATGGTAACCAGGCGAGTGGGATCCGAGAACGAGCTAGAAAAGGAGGCCTTCCGAATGGCTATGGGAGGCGAGTCGGCCTGCAAGCTCGTCCGGGATAGCCAACTACACGAAGAGCTACTGCAACTCCTGCAAGTTTGGATAGAAGGTCAGGACCTCAGCGAACCTGGCCTACTGGATATTCCTCCTGGGCAGCCCCTTCGTCTACGGCTACTTCGTGCGATCCTCGAGGCGGCTGGCGACCCGGATAGGGACTTCCTCCGTCGGGCCGAGGAGGGACTCCCACTTGGGATATTGGAGGGGCTACCCAGAACACCGCACGTGTTCGAGGAGCAATCCTCTTGGAGGCTAGACAACGCCCCTTGGGAGCCGGCGCTAGCATGGGTTCCGAATTATTCCTCGGTTAGCGACCACAGGGATTTTGTGCGGGCTAAGTTCGACGAGGACGTCGAGGAAGGCCTCATGGAGAGGATGACCCTCGGCGAGTTCAAGGCGAGGTTCGGCGAGGACCGGGCTATCGCCTCCCTGGCCGTGATAGTCGAGGACGAGGAGAAGGACAAGAAGCGGATAATCCACGACGCGACCCACGGCGTCCGGGTTAACCACCGGATACGCTGTCGGGATAAGATCCGGGCGCCAGGGGCTAGAGAAAAGAAGCAAATCCTCCGAGAGCTGATACGCTGTGGCGAGATTGCCTTTTCGGTCGTGGGGGATATCTCGAAGGCCCACCGGAGATACAAACACCAGGCTAGCGAGCACGGCTTCATGGGCTGCCAGATAGACACCGAGGAGACGATCCCCGGGGACCCGGATAGCCAGATCGTCTACGTCAACAAAGTGGGCACGTTCGGACTCTCGCCGGCTAGCTACTGGTGGACCCGGATAGCCGCATGTGGGCTACGGGCAACCCATCATCTGTTGGGCCCCGGCTATCCCATCGACCTCCTTCTATATGCCGATGACCTCGAGGCCCTGGGGATAGGAACGGAGGGGAGGAAGGGTATCCCGTTGAGCTACCTTTTCCTCTCTGTTCTGGGATATCCTTTCAAGTGGGCGAAGACTCGTGGTGGCTATAGGGTGGAGTGGCTGGGAATGGAGACAGAGTACTCCTCCTACAGGCTAGGGATGTCCAAGAAGCGGGCGTCCTGGCTATCGGCGTGGCTAAACGACAAGGTGACCTTCGGCAAAGTCACGGCCAAGGAGATGCAGCAGGGGCTAGGTCGGCTAGGCTTTGCTGCGATAGCCTTGGATTGGCAGAGGCCCTTCTTGGGGCCGCTCCACGCGTGGAGCGCAGCCATTCAAGGGAAGTCCGGCTACCTCATCATCCCGACGATGCTCCGGGTGCTGATGCGGTGGCTAGCCGACAAGCTTGACCAAGGAGAGAGGCTACAGCGTCCAGTGACTCTCTACGCCGGGCTACCTCCACTGAGCTTTTTCACGGATGCCAAAGCTGAGTCCGATAGGGCCTGGATAGGTGGCTTCCTGGAGATTTCCGGAGGGAAGCCAGGTCCCTGGTTTTCCCTAGAAGTGGATAGGGCCTGGGCTCCGTGGGCCTTTGCCAAAGGCGACCCCAAGAAAGTGATAGCTGCGCTAGAACTGCTAGCGACCCTCGTGGGGATACGTCTCTGGGTCCCCGAGGGCGAGGATAGGAAGACCTCGCGAGTGGCCATCCGCGGCTATACGGATAACAAGTCCAATGAGGCACTTGTGAAGAAGGCTATGACGACCAAGTATCCCTCCATGCTAGTTTTAATGGAGATAGCAGAAGAGCTATCCCAGAAAAACTGTGAGCTACAGCTCCAGTGGATACGGAGAGACATCAACCAGCTAGCGGATGACCTTACAAACGAGGAGTTCAAGGAATTCGATCCCTCTCAGAGGATAGATCTGAAAGGAGAGGAATTCCAGTGGCGTGTTCTTGGCCGGCTACTCGCGCATGCAGATAGCTTCTACCAGGAGCTAGGCACGCGAAAGCGAGGGACCCCGGATAGGGTGTCCAAGTTTAGCCGTAAGGCCAGAAAGCTAGATCCCTGGTAGCCTGAGTGGCGATGCGTGGGGATAGATAGCCGAAGGCTATCAGTTATCTCCAGGCAACCTGGGATAGTTGCCACTCCAGACAAAAGAACGTCCGTGCTAGCTGTGTTGCTTGTCCGTCTGGTCGTCGCTCGGCTAGCTCGCTAGCTATCTACTTTCGCACTACTATCGTCCTGGTGGAGTTCCGGGGATGGTGGTGGGATATAGGAGCTAGTGCACGTACCTCGTGACGAGGAACGAGTTACGACTATGTGTGCTAGCTTACCTATTACTACTCGAAGCTATCGAAGGTAGCTTCGCTAGAAACGAAGTTTCGTTCGCTATCGTCGCTCGCAGGAGAGTTGCCTCTGACATGCGAAGACAGGATAGCAGTGACTTGGAATGGCTACGACGGTGTGTGACCGTGGCCATTCTGGATAAAGTCCCCCATCAGGGGGGGTAATTTTGAAGTACCCACCCTGCCCACCCTGGGGATAGATAGCCGAAGGCTATCAGTTATCTCCAGGCAACCTGGGATAGTTGCCACTCCAGACAAAAGAACGTCCGTGCTAGCTGTGTTGCTTGTCCGTCTGGTCGTCGCTCGGCTAGCTCGCTAGCTATCTACTTTCGCACTACTATCGTCCTGGTGGAGTTCCGGGGATGGTGGTGGGATATAGGAGCTAGTGCACGCAGCTATGTAAGAAAAGTCTCTCGAGGCGCCTTGGTCCCCGAAAGAAGGCGAAGGAAGTACCTCTGCGGGTCGCTTCCGCTGCTGGTGAACCTCGGACTAAGAAGGGCAAGACGGCTTGCAACAGTGTTCCTTTCGCCAAGGAGGCTTTCCTCTTCGCGGCGGTCTGGATCTTGAGGGAGATCGAGCTCGGCACACTAGATTGTGACGACGTCTCCTTTCCAGGCGGCGGCCTCGTGCAACTGTGGCTAGCAGAGTCGAAAACCGACCCAGAAGCCGAAGGAACACTCAGGACTTTGCAGTGCATCTGTGAGGGTACTTGTTCTCAACTCTGCCCGCTCAAGGTGTCCAAAGACTTAGTCGAGCACGCTAAAGCCTTCCACCTCGCGAAGGGCATGAAGGGACCAGGGCCTCTGTGTCCAGCCTCAGGAGGAGGCAAGGCGAACAAGGAAGCCACAATCAAGGCTTGGCAAGCCTTGTTTGGCAAAGAGACGACGGGGCACTCCCCACGGAGGTCGGGTGCTTTGCATTACATCCGGGAAGGCCACGCGTTGCAGCAGGTCAAGCACTTGGGAAGATGGAAGTCTGATGTCATCCTAGAGTACGCCAAGGAAGCTTTGGCTAGCATGCCGGCGCTGGGCAGTTCGGAAGGGAAACCCCAGATCGATGTCGACAAGCTAGTGGAAAAGCTTATCCTTGAAAGTAACAAACTCAAGGACGACATTCAGTTTCAGCTCGCAGCAGTAAAAGAGTTGGTGGCGAAGCAAGCAGTCCAAGGGGGAAATCACGCGCCAGCTCAGTCGTGCGTTTTCCCATCGCTGAAGATCCGTTCACACAGAAGCGGCATTGTGCATGCAGTTGATCCTGTTTTCGAAGGAGAAACTCCGCATCTCTGGAAGACTGGCTGCGGTTGGCCTTTCGGCTTCTCGAACTATAGCTTCGTGACTGACAACGCCATTCCCACAGGATGCAAGAGGTGCATGCAGAGCGCGCCAGGGGCATGACGGGCAAGGACAGGCGCAAATCTTGAAGGCAACCTTATGCTCGAGTCAACTCGTTCAGCATGAGGATGTCTATTTCTTGTGGAGCTTCCGCATCCAGCAAGAAACATTGATCTCGTGCCTTTGCAACTTCGGAGGGTGGGAGGGGGTAAAGCAGTCACGACTTGTCGCGCAGCAACATGTGAGCGCAGCGAACTTGTTGCGTAGGACAAAACCACTGACTGCTACAGGGTCGGTGGCTAACTTCTCTTGCTCAAGCCTCCGACCGGAGGCATGAATCTTCTTTCCCGCCCACCCATTCCCAAACGGGATACGGGCAAGGACAGGCGCAAATCTTGAAGGCAACCTTATGCTCGAGTCAACTCGTTCAGCATGAGGATGTCTATTTCTTGTGGAGCTTCCGCATCCAGCAAGAAACATTGATCTCGTGCCTTTGCAACTTCGGAGGGTGGGAGGGGGTAAAGCAGTCACGACTTGTCAGGGTGTTGACATGTGACCTACGTTTACATCATTAAACACAGCACCGCTGCCCTCGTACTTTTTTAAAACATACTTTTCCCACAAAGTCTGGCACCAGCAGAGTCCTTCATGGCAAACGGATTCAACTGTCGTCTCGGCTTTACCATCAGCTGTTGTCGTATTGCGCCACATCGGTGACGTTCGAGCTGCGCGACCCTCGACACGTTCCTCTCGACTTTCCTTCTCTTCTGTGATAATCTGGGTCTACATCTGTAAAGGCCCTTAGCACGTGTTATCAGGCATTGCGAAGCCTGGCTACCATTGCTATCATTCACGACTTGAACATCTGAGTTCGTTTCGCGGCCACCCTTGACAACAAGCAAACATGCAAATAAGTGTTGCAGCCGCAAGTGCCCTATTGTCTTCGGCCGGTTAGACTAAGACCTCCTCAAATTATCCACAGCAGTCGATTTGACAGCGTGGATTTGGCTTGGACCTTCCGGCATGATTCTCGTGCACTCTCCGTGCCCGAAGAAGTGCACGAACATTGGCCTTGCACGGGCACGTTACCGGACCTAGCAGACTCCTGTGCTGTTGCAAACTCAAACGGTCGAAACGGCTGTTGCCTTCGTCTTTTGCTGCTCAAAGTCCAGCATAGTCCAGCTGCGTCGTCGTGACTTGACATGACTTGACAGCTGTGTGACGGCAGATTAGTCAGCAGTGGCGAGGCAATGTCACATGTCCCGCCACCCTTTGCGATGTTCTTAGCATGCTGGTGTGTGGATCGATCCATCTGCTGCTTTCTCCTTAGATTTAGTGACGGCTTATGGAATTGCAGGAGCCGCGAACAATGCCTTTGGCAGACATTGAGAAAGTGACAGCCTGCGCCTCAGAGGACGACGCCTTTGGGCGTTGCTTGTCTCTTTTACTGTCCAAAGGTCAAGGAACTCCGCCTCACACTGGAAGTGAGGCAGGCAGACGTATCTGGAAGTTCCTAATCTGGTTTCCGGAACGGTTTGCGCCAGCTGTTGATTTTTGTTGGGTGCAGTGCTGTAGTGTATGCTGGCAGCGAAAATTTCCGAACTTTTCACACCACGCAAGACATTCCAGATCAAACCTGAGTGTCACGGCTTGTTGTTTGGCAAGGATGGTTCAACTCACAGCCGCGTGGCATGATGCTGTTGTGCCTCT